TCAGGAGAAAAGAGGAGAAATATGGGGAGAAAAGAGATGGGCGGGAAGGGGAAGAAATTAAGCAGTCAGGAAAAGGCCATTGCATGTCCAAATCTAGGAGAGCTTGGGGAAAGCACCAACTGGGGAGAAACCCTAAGGGTGAATAGAGGAGAAAATCCTCTCTATTAATAACTCCTGGGATGCAGTGGATTGTTTTTTGTTTCCCAAGTCAACATGGACGTCAGACTCTGAGGTCAGTGCCTGGCTAAATCTCAGTCTGCCTGTGTGTGGAACTGTTTCTAGGGGAAACCCAGAAGCTGGAGACTGTGTGGCTGTCGGGGATCTGCCAGAACGAGAAGAATGAGGTGATGAGCAGCAAGCTAGACATTGACAACATGGCCGGAGTCTTCTACATGCTGCTGGTGGCCATGGGGTTGAGCCTACTGGTCTTTGCCTGGGAGCACCTGGTGTACTGGAAACTGCGCCACTCTGTCCCCAAATCACACAAACTTGACTTCCTGCTGGCCATAAGCCGGGTAAGTGCCTTCCCAACATGCTTGCGCTGCACGGCCATGCTCCCAGCAAGTGGCTCGTTCCTGAGCTGATGTTCTGGGGGGCCCTATCTGATCATCAGGAGCAAGGGCTGGCGGCACGTCTAGGGATGGGATGCTGAGAGTGTTATCTCTAGGCCAGGGGTGGGCAATAATTTTTGACCAGGGGCCACTTCTGAAATTTTTGAAGTGGCCCTGGGACACCCCGGAAGGGGTGGAGCTGCAGGCAGAAGGGGCGGAACCAGGACACTTGTGTGCTTCTTCACCCACAGACCCTGATTGGGGAGGGCTAGCTCAGTGGTTTGAGCATTGGCCTGCTAAACCTGCTAAACCCAGGGTTGTGAGCTCAATCCTTGAGGGGGCCATTTAGGGATCTAAGGCAAATCTGTCAGGGGTGGTGCTTGGTCCTGCCATGAGGGCCAGGGACTGGACTCTCAAGGTCCCTTCCAGTTCTATGAGATAGGTATATCTCCATATATATATATATAAAGGTCTCCACCTCCTCTCCCCCAGAGAACTGCCAGCTGATCTGAACAGCTGTTCTGGTGGTTTCCTGTAGGTACCTGTGCCCCTGGTGGTGGGAGGAGAATTTGCGTGCTCCCCTGGCTGCTCCCCCAGGTCAATCAGTCAATCAGGGCCTGGGAGGGGGGAGCACATGAAGTCTCCTCCTGCCCTGCCAGGAGTGTGCAGTGGTTCTAAGCGCCGTGCAGGGCAGGGGCGCAGGAGGGAGGAGACTTCACATTCCCAACCTCCCCCGCCCCTAAGGCCTGATTGGGGCAGGGCCTCTGCGGGCCAGATCAATTTACTTGGCAGGCTGGCTCTGGCCCACGGAGGCCCTTTTGCTCTAGCTGCCGAGCAGAATGTGGTCTGAGGAGTCACCACAAGCAGGCTGGCTCTTTGGGCAGCTGCGGGCGGGGGTGGGGTGTGTGGACTGGGCTCCACTCCCTGGGGGTAACGTTCTGAATAAAAGTGCCACTTTCACACCGCGCCTGAGGTCTGTCTGGGCCTCTCCTCTCGTCTCCTCTCCCCTTAGCGAGGCCCTTCCCAGTCAAGCTTTGCGCTGGTGGGACAGGAGGGAGGAAGCTTGTGCTGCCCAGATGGTGTCCGTGTTCTGTGGACTAAAACAAGCTGCTTGTCTGAAGGGCTGCGGGGTTCTCTGGCAGGAGCCTTTTCCCAGCCCTAAATTCCCACGAAACCATGGCGCACCAATTCACAGCACACCAAGGAACCGAGTAATGAATAGCTGGGCCGGTCCCTGGCCTTGTCACGCTCACAGTCCCAAGACAAGGCACTTGAAATGCCTCGTGCGCCCACAAGCCCGCGCCTCAGCTGGCGAAACCATTCTTAATGGGCCCTCTGCCCAAAGTGAGGCAGCTGAGCGAGTGGGGGGGTTGAGGGGAGCTCTGGCTTTCTCTAGGCAAGAGCAACCTTGGGGTGCCATTGTGGAGACCTGCTAGCTGGCTGGAGAGGGGATGGAAGATGCTCTGTCCTCGCGTTCCACTCCCAATCAAAGGGCTCATTCTCGGATGAGTCTGCTGGGTTCCTCGTGGGAGGAAACTATTCGGGGGGAAAGGGAAGATGTTAACATTGGGGTGTTTGGAAGTAATGCAGAGATTATAAGAACATAAGAATGGCCATACTGGGTCAGACCAATGGTCCATCCAGCCCAGTATCCTGTCTGCCGACAGTGGCCAATACCAGATGCCCCAGAGGGAGGGGACACAACGGGTAATCCTCATGTGATTCTCCCCCCCTCCCCCCGCATCACCCATCTTGGGAGAAACAGAGTCTAGGGACACGATTCCTACCCATCCTGGCTTATAGCCGTTGATGGACCTAACCTCCATGAATTTATCTAGCTCTCCTTTGAATCCTGTCAAAGTCCTAGCCCTCACCGCATCCTCTAGCAAGGAGTTCCACAGATTGACTGTGCACTAAGTGAAGAAAAACTTCCTTCTGTTTGTTTAAAACCTACTGCCTATTAATTTCATTTGGTGACCCCTAGTTCCTATGTTGTGGGAATATGTAAATAACTTTTCCTTATTCACTTTTTCCACACCACTCATGATTTTATAGACCTCTATCATATCCCCCCTTAGTCTTCTCTTTTCTAAGCTGAAAAGGCCAAGTCTTTTTAATCTTTCTGCATATGGGACCCGTTCCAAACCCCTAATCATTTTTGTTGCCCTTTTCTGAATCTTTTCCAGTGCCAATATATCTTTTTTGAGATGAGGCGACCACATCTGTACGCAGGATTCAAGAAGTGGGCGTCCCATGGTTTTATATAGAGGCATTAAGATATTTTCTGTCTTGTTCTCTAGCCCTTTTAAAATGATTTCTAACATTCTATTTGCTTTTTGGACTGCCGCTGCACGCTGAGTAGATGTTTTCAGATCTTTGCACTAGGGATGTAAATAACCATTAAAATAGTTAACTGGTTCAACAGATAATTTTATACCGATTAATGGTTAACCATTAACAGGAAGATCCTGCCCAACAGCCCAGCCTGCCATTCCAGTGCGGCTGGGGTCCCGCTGGCCTGCTTGGGTCACTCTGGCATGGCTGGGATTCGTCGTGACCACCTGGGCCATGCTAGCTCAGCAAGGACAGGGGCCTGACACAGGCTCAGCCCTGCCTGGTGCTGCCAAAGGGCCAACTGGTGTTTGCCAGGGCTGCTCCAGCATGGCATGATGGGCCATCCAACCGGTTTCCAGTGAGTGTTCCAGTGAGCCTAACACTTGCTGGGTAGCCAGGTAAACTTTTACCTCCCCCCCCCCCGCACACAGGGTTGCCCTGGTCACTTTTTCTCTCTCTGCTTTCCAGGGCATTTACAGCTGTTTCAGCGGAGTCCAGAATCTGGAGAGCCCTGTGCAAGTGCGCACCCCTGACATCACCGCTAACTCCGCCCAAGCCAACGTGCTGAAGATGCTGCAGGCCGCTAAGGACATGGTGTCCACAGCCAGTGTGGGGAACTCCCTGGAGAACGCCACGCGTACCATTGAGAACTGGACCAACCGGAGCGAAACCCTGCAGCCCACGTTCTCCCTTCGAACACCTCAGCTGGTGGTCCAGAACACCAGCGTGTCCAACAGCCCAGCCTGCTCCTCCAACATGGCTGCCGCAGAGAAAGTCGGGCGGGTCTGTGCCCAGCGGGTTGCTCCACCACCCATCTCTGAGCCCCAGCAGCCCTTTGTGGATTCCAGGCTGCCAGCTAGTGACAACTGGAGGGCAGGAAACGAGCAGCCACCAGTACTTCACCCCCTAAAGCTTCGAGGAAGCTATTCTGGGGATAAAGCTCTTCCTGGTTCCACTGTGGGGGACTTTCCCCACCTCTTGGTGAGGACCATGCCCCCAGCCCATTTCAGGAGCCACGTGCCCTTGGGAAACCATCTGAGCACTTCCCTCTCACCGCTGGAAACTCAAAGGGAGCTTCCCCTCCCGGACATCTACAGAGAACATAAGCACCCTGTGTCCAGGGGAGAGGGAAAGGAGAAGCTCTCCCCAAATGTCCACCTGGTGTATGGGGAAGGAGGACCCAGGGGCCCAGCCCCGCTGGCAAGACTGTTCTCCACTTCTAAGAAGAGCCCTTTCTTGCCTCCCGACTGTGCGCACAGCTCCTTCCTGACCACCAACAGGCCTTGCAGGCCCTTAGTGACTGTGTTCAAGGAAGCAGAACCCATAGAGCTGCCCCTTCTGGGAAAGGAGAAGCTGAACAGGAGAGCCAACCTGCTGAGGTCCTCCTGGGAGCAGAATGGGAAGCACCATTCCCTAGGCATCCGGCAATACGACGGCAGGTCTTCCGCCCAAGGGGACCTACCAGATCTCTTCCCCAAAGCTGGCATGGCACTGAGGCCGGCACCAATGCACTATCCCACCGAAGCCCTCCGGCCCAGTGCGATGTGCAACAGAAAACGCCTGGAGACAAACTCCAGGCTTTCTTGGAAAGGACAGCAGCTCCTGCACTCTCCGGCAGCGAGGCTGCCCTCCTACGGGGAGGCGTGCCTGCAGAACTCTAGCGGCATGCACCGGGCCTCTTCCACTGTGGTGCACAAACAGTACGCCTACATGAACTCCTATACGAACCTGCCCATGTACCTGGGACAGCTGTACCAGGGGCCTGCCCCACTCTGCGAACACTCCAGGGCCAGCCAGCCCTGTGTCGCTCGGGCTCCCTGGGCACCCAGGAGCAGGGACTACTTGGTCCACGAGGACAGCCGGAGGACCATGTACTTCGACAGCGTGTACAGAGACTGTACAGAGCGAAACCGCGCAGAGCCGTCCTTCCTCCAGATGGTCAGTGCCGAGAGGGGGGACCTGCTGGCAGCCCAGAGAATGAGCAGTCCTTACGCTGCCCGGTCCTGGAGGCGAATCTCTAGCTTGGAGTCCGAGGTGTGAGGGTAGAGAGGGGGGCAGGGTTAGGGCCGTTGCTACTTAGCGTCTATCTGTGTTACTGCTCTCACCCGCCCTTTGGTGATTCTGGGGTGACTCTTGAGGACTGATCCCATAGGGAGGCTCTAAAATCTTAGTCCCTGGGTACCAGCAGGAAGATCTTGTCCCATTTCCTCTGCTACTGACGGACCAAAAAAATAGCAAAGCAGCAGCTATTTGATACGGGGCACAAACCTAACTGTAGAAGGGACTTCCATGTATGAATTCTGAAGTCTTCCATTGCTGGGCACTGGGACCTAGCACGGGCTGTGTGGTGCGCTTGGCTGTGTCTTGTCCAATTGAAATGCTCACAGTCATATGTGGTCAACTATAAAGTATCCAGTATGATGTCAGTCCTTCATTTCTGGTTCCAGTTAACTTGGGGGTCCATGCCCAGAGCTCTGCTTTCTGTGAAAGGATGGGGGACATCTTCCAGCCCTGCTCCCCCCAAACTGTAACTCTCCTGCTTCTACAGTTGCACCACTTTAAATGGTCTGCTAATGAATGGGGCTGCCTCGGGCACAGGAAGACCCGGGGTCCCTAAGATATTTTCAGTAGTTTCCTTCCCCTTTTGGTTTCTTAAAGCAAGACTCACAATGCCATGCCCAGGTCATTAAAGAGACATTTTAAATCTTGCTTTTCTAATTCTGCCATCATTCTGCACCAGACTCCGGGGTTGCCAAGGTTTCTTCTGTGCTCTAACACGCAGAGAGCTGCCTTCCATCCCGAAGATCTACAAAGGGTTAGGTAAGCAAGTCAGATTCTCAGCTGGTGCAAATGTGTGGAGCTACACTCCTGCACCCCGGCTGAGAATCGGACTAGAATCCTGCATTTGTCTCTCCAGCCAGGCCCTTAGGCCTTCACCCCCCTGCCGGGGCTTCAAGAGCAGGGACAAAGTCTAAGGTTTAGGGGACATGGGGGTGGGAAATGGTAACTGGGCACTGATGTGGTAGCTGTCCAACAGGAAGCTGTGCAATAGTGTTGACGGGTGCTACTTGCCAGATCTGGACTCGCTTGGTAGATCTGCAATTAGTGTCTCCAGAGGAGGTCCCCTACACTGGGGCCAGGTCTTCACTAAAGGAGAAGACCAAAATAAGACAAGCAATTTCAGCTACATTAATTACATTGCTGGAGCTGATATACCTTAATTCGAGTTTCCATGCGGTCTCCACAGTGGGTCTCCTACTCATCGCAGGAGTACCTGCCGGCAACAGGGGCGCACCATCTGAGTTTGATTTAGTGGGTCTTGACTAGCCATGCTAAATTGAACTCTGGAAGCTTGATCGTGGCAGCATTGATCTTCTGCTTAGTGAAGAGATGGCTTCAGTGATGGGTTTTTAACTCCATACCAGGTGTGGGCAATTATTTTTGATGTGGTCAAGGGCTTTACTCTTCTTTGATGTTAATGGAGGAGTTACAAGGTCTGGGATGGAAGTTGGGGAGGTCAGGGTAAGGGATTGGAGTGCAAGGGTCTGGGAGGGAGTTTGGTTGAGAGAGGGGGAGGGGATTGTGACCTGGGGCAGGGGGTTGGGGTCTGGAAGGGGTTCCAGGGTCTCAGATGGGGGTATGGATGCAGGAGAGGATTCTGACTTGGAGGAGGGGGTTGGCAGGAGTGCAAGAGGAGTTGAGAGGGTCTGGTTTGTGAGGAGGGGGTGCAAGGTCTGGGAGGAGGCTGTGACCTGGTGCAGGAGTCCAGGGGTTTGGGTTGCGACCTGGGCCAAGGGATTGGGGTGCAAGGTCTGATGAGGGGTATGGGTGCAGAGGGTTTGGGTTACATGGGGAATGGGCACAGGAAGGGGAGCAGAGGGCTGGGGTGCCAGATGCAGGCTCTGGCCAGGAGGCACTTACCTAGGCAGCTCCTGGCCAGCAGATCACACCCCCGCATGCTGCTCAAAGCAACCAGCTGCAGGGACCATGCATGTGTCTGAGTGCTACACGCCCCTTGGGGGGGCCCTCCATGGAAACCGCCAATGAGGACTGTGAGATTGTGCTGGGGGAAGGGACAGTGAACGAAGCCCCCCAGGGGTGTGCGGTGCACAGAGAACACATGGCCCCGTAGGTGGCTGTTTGGCCCTGTAGGTGGTGTGCGGGGGCGTGGCAGGCAAGGAGCCTGCCTGAGGCTCCTGCTGGACTGCGGGATGATGGTGGGAAGTTTCTGGCAGTTTGGAGGGCCGTGTCTGGCCCACGGGCTGCATTTTGCCTGCCCGTGGTCTACACCAGGCAGCTTTTAGCCACACGGCCATGTGAAAGCCCCGTTTGTCAGCCCTTTTGCCAACAAAATACGTGCACCGCCCAAGAGCAGAGTTCGGGTCTGTCCACACCGTGCAGCTTTCAGCAACAAGGCCGTGTCAAAAGTCCACGCGTGGGACTGCTCTTTGTCAGCCCTCTTGCTGACAAAACACTCCTCTCCCCCTGCGCAGCTTTCGCTCTGTCCGCAGGAGAGAGCCGGCGTTCGCACTGGCCGTGGCAAAACCTTTGTCCATCATTGGGGAGCGGGGGAGGGGAGATTAGCACCCGTGAACAACAAAAGTTGTGGGGATCCAGTGCAAGTGCAGACCTCGCCTTCATGCTGTGGGCAGGAGAGTGCTCCTGCCAACAACAAGCTACTTACACTGCCACTTGCCGGGGCAAAACTTGCATCGTTTAGGGTACGTGCACACGCACGCGTGTGTGTGTTTTCTAAGCACCTGTGAATGATAAAAAAAATTGTCATTCAATTGGCCATGTAGACAAAACCTCAGTGCAGGGGTGGGGAACCTCAGGCCCAGGAGCCAAATGCGACCCCTCCCTCCCCAACTTGCCTGGATTGGCCCCTGAGACTCAGGGCCCCCCAACCATTGGGAAGCCTGTACTGGTGCTCCAGTGCCTATCCCCTCCCCCGCTGTCCACCTGTGGGGCTGGAGTGCACAAAATCTAGGCGCCTGGGCCCCCCTAGGCTCTGGTGTGTGTGAGTTGTCTGTCTCCTTCTCAGTCAGGGGCCACGTCAATGAGGGTTTGTGTTTTTGTTTTGAGTTTTGCTTCTTTCTTGTTTGTGGCCCCTGACTGATTTTTCTGTGGGTCAGTGGCCCTGACCCCAAAAAGTCTTCGCCTCTCCCCTCCCCCTTAGTGTAAATCCTCACAGGCAGCCTATTTGCCCATGTTTGGTTAACAAGGTAATTCAAACCAGCGTCTGCCTGGCCTTTTTTCACACCCAAACAAGGTTTGATAGGAGGCGAGTTGAGCGGTTGAATAGAAATCAGGAGAAGTGTATTTAACATAACTCCAGAGTGTTTAGAGAAAGCCCTTTGCGGGGTCTGTATCTTATTTCTATTAACTCCCTTTGTGTTCAGTCACTTGCTCTCATTATAGTCACAGCAGGATCAAAGGCCTCCGGAGGGGACATCACCTACCTGCTAATTTTTCATTTACTGTCAGAAGATAGCCAGGGGTTGGCGTGACTAATGTCTTTCCTCATTTGCCTCCTCTTGCTGGGCTGCAACCTCTCCCATTCCTATGGGCTGCGGGAGCACAGAACCCCCCGCTCTGGCCCTGGCAAACGACCAGAGAGGTGTTTGTGTGGAAAGAGATCACAGCTGCTGCTCTTCCCCAAGGCTGCTGCTGGAGAGGATGCTTCAGGCGTCGTCTGGTCCCCGCCTGTGTGGTTCTCGCACTAACGTCATGGGACTAACAGGGAGGGTTCCTCGCTGTGTGCCCTGTAAGCTGTGCACTTAGGCAGCTGCACAGGAGCGATTCAAATGCCTCCCAGCAGATGAACAGAGTGCCCCCTGCTAGGTTTTCTGTTTCTACTGGTGGTGCACATTTGCTCATGCCTCGGTGCACAGAAAAAAATGTATTCTGCTCATGTATGGAAAAAAATCAGCACACAGATAGAAGAGGGCCCATAGGCTCCTTGGGCGCTTGCTGTGCTAGGAAACAAACTCTTTGTACATAATAAATGCAGCTTGTATTGCGACCTCTTCAGCAGTAGGTCTGTGGGGCCCTTTCCTAGACAGAGAGGGGAGGTGTCACTGGCAGAGGCGGGAATCGAACCCAGGAGTCCGAGCTCTCACCCCTGTGGTGAGCTGCAGCTGGTTTAAAAAACTTGGGGCACATTCAGGATCTCCCCAGTTTATTCTTCACTTGCTGATCTGCCTGTCAGCTAAAGGGCTGTAAGTAGGGTTGCCAGGTGTCCAGTATTGAACTAGACAGTCTGATATTTAGACTTTATGTCCGGTAAACAAACAAATGTCCAGTATTTTCTAATTAAGGGTAGTGGCTCAGACCATTTGGGCCCGTACTTGTTTTTCTAGCTGTGGCTACTATCTGCTTAAATACAATACAACGAAACTAGCTCAGGGAGCTAATGTGCAAACAAAGATACAATCAAATGCTGTGAAGGAAAAATACAGGATTGATAGGAGCCTCTAGGACTTAAGGGATGTGAAATTCAATGCAGCCTCTTTCCAGTCCCCTCAGACACAAGGCCCCACCTTGTCACTGGAAATCTAACTTTGGCTGGGGGCAGAAATAATGTTCCCTCTAATATTTTCCATCCATGTGCGGAATAAATTCTGTTATGTGCACTGAGGCATGTGTGGATGTGCACCACGAGTAGAAATGCAGGCTGCTGGCTGTGGGTACCCCGCTAATCAGCTGGGTGGCATTTGAATCTCTCTTGAGTGGCAGCCTGGGTGCCCAGCTGACAGGGAACACAGGGCAGGAGGACAGGGGGTCTGAGCTCTCTGCCTGCTCTGGGCATCCTGCATGGACTGTCCTCTCTGCTGAAACAGGAGCACATATCACTTAATTAACTGTCCTTGGCAACAGCTGCTGTGCCGTGGGAAGGTCTGCACACACACAAGCCAAGAGGGAGATGTTCTGGTTGGTATTGTTTGCTAGGTTCCCAAGCAGGGCTGTTGTCCTCCTGCCAGATCTCCCCACCATCCTCCTAGGAGCAACCGCCGGAGGCTTCTGACCTAAAACTGCCGACGCTTCGTTTCTTCAGTTACAAATCAATCGTGCTGGGGTTGCAGCCAGCTGCAGTGGTTGCCACTCAAGGTTCTTTGCCCGGGCAAGGACACCGGTGTGCAGAGCTGCTCCGGCAAGGCGGACGGAGAAAGGGCAGCACCTGGGGGAAACTCTGGCCCTACTGAAGCGCCTGAGCCAACCCCACTAACTCCACATTTCTCTCAGGCTTCAGATTTTGTGTTTGTGGGTGCCGGAGAGACGTTAGACCCTTGCTGTCTGCGGGCCCGTTCTGAGCCACGCTGCTGCCCTGGGCCCTAGAAGAGGTGTCTGACTGCTGGAGAATCGCCTTGGGCAGGGCCAGATGCCTCTGCCAGCCCCTGGTGCAGGAAGCCGGGCAGGAGCATGGCCAGAATATATAGGGTTGCCAGATACCGTCACAAAAAAATCCCGAACATAGCGAGGAAAAAAACTGGTTGAGGGGGGAAAAAAAAAAAAAAAGTTACTGCACCTTTAAATTCCCATGCTCCCTTGCAGCAGGGGAAAAATGTCCCTGCCAGCCTTCCATCCGAAACAGAAAATACCGGACATTTTGTTGTTTTTGTTTTTTTTTTTACTGGGCAGAAGATGCAAATACTGTCTGGTCAAAAACCAGACACCTGGCACCCCTAAGAATATAGCTGCTCCTGTCATCTACCTGGGGCCCTGGGAAGCTGAGTAAGCGAGAGCAGCTTGTGAGGGCCTGGTCACAGGGTCCAGGGTGAGCCAAGGTCTCTCAAAGATGCTTGTCT